AAAAAAGGGTAGGAATTAATGGTAAATTCTCAGAATGGAGAGGGGTAACTAGTGGTGTTCCCCAAGGGTCAGTCCTCCCTCCATCCCAAATTTTAGTCTTTGTTCCAGCTCTTTAGATGGGTTCTTTTAGCATTCTGGATATTGTGCAAACTGTTTCATGAGAAATGCATTTTTCAAGTCTTTTATTCATGCCTCAGCAATTGGACGTGGGATCCATTATGTAGTTGTATACTACTAAGATTGGGTAATAATTACATTTTTTTTGCCTTACTGGCTGATAAATTATCACAATTATTTCATCAACTTTTTTCCTCTGGCAAAGAGTTGAGCACCCCTGCTTCCTCTTTCACAGAAGAAATTCTTGAATGGGAGAGCAATTCTTATGTTTCAGTGAATAATAGCTTATAAAGACAGAACACCAAGATGAGTTGTCAAAAATGTTGTAAGTGTTTTACAAAATTCTAAATCAATCATTGTTCCAACCTTACCATATATGCATGACACACATGAAAACATATGAGAGAATATGGAGATCATGGTCATGCTTACAGAAAGATGTGTGTGACCATAAGCAGCTATGAAACTGATAAATCAGTAATTTCAACTCTCTGGCTCGTCTGTCAATCAATAAAACTTTTTATTTACAAGCATGCAGAATTATTGAGTTATTAAAATATGGATGCTTCTTTTATTTGATAGTTGCTGCTTTAGTATGAAATAGTAACTCTGAAGTAAAATATACAAGTGTAGGCCATACCTGATTCAGACAACAGAGGTACATGGGACAGTTTGCTTCTGGCTCTTGTTAGAGGCCGGCGGGGATAATCTTCATTATACTCCATTTCATAGTTCCCTGGCTGTAAGCCAGCGCCCTCCTCCTCACCAGCAATCCCACAGACACTCCCATTAGTCCTTTCGGTGTTTGCCTCTCCTGGAGGCCCACAGTTTGGCACCGTCCTAAGTGAAAAATCTGACCCAGTGCTATTTGGTCCATTCCGAGTGCAGGCGCCACTAGTGGATGGGCACTCCCCATCAGAGCACCCACTAATCCTCCTTTGTGGCTCCTGCTGCCTATAGCAGGAGCACCTGGAGCAAATGGCACCCTCCTCACTGTCTCTCTCATTGGAGCCTTCGCTCTTACAAGGGGAGCAGACACACTGCCTGGATTCATCTGCAATTGTCGGACTGGTGCCAGCAGAGTGGCTATTAGCTGTCCTTGCACAATCAGGGCTTGAAGAAGCAGCACTGCAAGAGTTGGAGGTCCCTGTCGATCCAGCAGCATTAGTGCAACCTGGGTAAGAATCTTTGATTTTATTCCTTTCAGGCATGTCGCTGGCTGCTTTCATATCTGCTTTAATCTGCTCACTGGTCACTTGACAGCCTTTCTCACAGCTGCTCTCCTCAGCATGGAATTGCTTCACCTGGCCCACTTGGTTGGCATTGCACCTCTTCCGCAATGGAGTCTTGCCTTTACCGCTCACTGCTGATACAGTAACATTAAGCATGAAAGAACAATAAAGCAAGCGAATGCAAGGTTTCAATAAACACATATGGACAACATGCAGAATAGTACGCTGTAGGACAGCCAGGAGCTCAGCCGCAAAGGCAGTGAGGAGGTCAGTGAGGAACCAATATTTTGAATTAGGACTTATTCTGAAGTTGTGGGATGTTAACACTTATCCCATCGGCAGCTGAATCTCTCTAATGTCCTAGAGCTGCTCACCTCAACTGATGTACCAGGAACATCAGGAGATACACATTTGCTGGATGTGTCTAGGGCTTTCTGGAAGCAGCTCACTGGGTAAAAAGCCCAACATGCAAGAACATGATATGGGAATGTATTTTTAGCAATTCTTAGTTCTCTTGAAAATAAGGGAATAAATGACAACTTAGAACGGATAGTGCTTCAGACTTTCAAAGCACTGTGCAATCATTAATTTACACACCTACATATGAGGTATGGTAGATAAGTTGTTTTCCCATTTTACAGAGGGAAAGAGACAGAGTCAATGCAAAACCAGCATTAAAGTTCAGAAATATCTAGCTCCCAGCCCCTTGCTCAGTGTACTAGACTAGATAGCTCCCAACGGCACTGGTATCACTGGGAAAGCTTCTGCAAACAGCTCTCCAAACGTATCTTAATTCTGACTTGTAGCTATCCCCTGCTATTTCAACTCTGGGTCCCTGACCTCATTGCTACACTGTAGCTTGCCTGGGACTTCCTTTGAGTTGAAACTACTAGTCCTGTCAAAAAGTACTAAATCACTAACAATTTTGAGATGCAGATACACACCAACTACTAGTGTGAAGCCACCAAATTCAATCTCACTTCTGAACTAAGGCTGATGTGCGCTCAGATCTGCAGAAATGAAAGGCTAGTAGAGTACATTAAGCCAACACACCACTCAGCCCTATCCAATATAGGATTATTATTATACTGTTCAGTTAGCTAAACCCTTTCTAGTCTACAAGCCCCAGAAGAAGCAGGCCATATGTACTTCATGTCAATTATCTGGCTTCCTGTATATAGAGTGTAATTCAACTTTTACTTCCTCCTCTTGCGTACACACGTGGACCAATGTCCTACTCAGAGTGAGCAGATGAAGACTTCAGAAATGTTATTAAAGTCATCTGTTTTTCTGGAGAGGTACCACAGACCCAGGATAAAGCACCTGGGTTTTAGTTCCATCTCTGCCACGGAGCCACCTTGTGACTTTTGTCAAATTACTTTACCTCTCTGTGCCTTAGTTTCCCTTTCTATCCATTGTCTGTCTTGCCTATTTAGACTATAAGCTCTTCAGGGAAGGGACAGCCTCTTGCTGTGTTTTTCCACATTGTACAACTTGGCCTCAGCCTTTATTGGAGCCTGTGGGTGTTACTGTAATACAAACAATGACAGTAACAATAATGAGCCTTGTTCCAAAGTAGAGGATCTTGAGAGATGAAAAAAGGGAGGAGTCACTTCATTCCTAAGCTATAACATTCTCTTTAAAGAGAAGACTGGATCTGGACTACTTTCTCTGGGACATTCCCAGGAAGCCTACATTATCCATTAGATGGCAGTAGCATTTCCTACTCCTCCCCTAAGCATTTGCTTGATAGTTTTTCAACATGTGACTGTAGGCACTTTGAAAGAGAGTTCATCTTAGCAACACAGTTGCAAATCTGGACGTACAGATGTCTACTGTAAGCCACTGATGCAATGAATGTACCTGCAAATATGTATGAGCAGTCCTGTGCCTGCAAAAATCTGCAGCTATGCTTCTGGCATTTATGCTGTATGTCCCCATTTTACACATGTGAATGCAGCATTATGGGGATGTATCCTACTGCTCCATTCTAGGTTGTAATGGATCTGTATGACTAGTCGTTTCCTGAGGCATGGAAAAGAAGCAAAATGGGCTCTTTTAAGCTTCAGTCTCCAAATTAGGAGACTTTGCCTAGTGTAATCCAGCCCTTACTAATAAGCCAACCCATACAAAATCTTTCAGACCTGACGGCTCTCTGGTTTCCACTGGATCTCTGACTTTCTCTTCTCCATCAGAGTAACTCTGTGCAATGCTGTTAGTAATGCAGGCTCTTGAGGACCCCATGTTCTCTTCTTCATCCTCACTATCCGAGTCATGGACAGTAATAGGTGCAGCTTTTACGATAGGCTGAAGGCCGCTGGGTCCTAAAACAGGAGAAGAATGCTGACAGTTCATTTACGCAAGGCAAGCACTGATTGTAGAGTGTTATAATGCAATAGTTCCTGTCTGGTGAAGTTCTCCAACAGTTTGGGAATACCATAGAAAGACCAACTCTACACTCTTTAATGTGGATCCTGCATAAAAACTCAAATGCTGCAAAAGTGATTTAAAGATGCACCATTAAAACACATTTAAAACAATCAAAGATGTTCTAATCTATCAGAAAAAGTGCTGACACAATAGGCCAGAATACTGGTTTTCTATGACACGCCTCACACTCAAAGTATCCCAGAAGCATCTTCCACAACAGTGAGAAACTGACAATGCAGTAACTGAGGTCCTAATTTGAAAGGCATTTTGTGCTCATCCCTTAGAATTTGTGTTACTGGGAGTGCAGGACATTGGGATTATCCTCAAATCCTTTTGAAAGAGCATCCAGGGATGTCAAACTTCCACCCAGGCAACCCTCAAAGATGGGCAGAAAAGACCCCTAGTGGTGCAGCAGTCTTCCTATCAGTAACCTCCCAGAGTGTCCACACTGAGTGAAAACCCATGTTCTCTGAGGGGCTCAACTCTCATGCTTCTGGCTGTTGGGACAGAGTGCTGCTAGCTGTACCAAACTGGCACAGTATATGGTACCTGTGAATAATTCAAGAAATGAACATCGGCATGAAATTTCCAGGAGCTTTTTGGAAAAACACTCCAGTGAACAGACACCCTGGTTTTGTTTTAAGCTGTTGGCATATCTACAGTGCTGTAAAGCAAATGGCTGGCATCGATAATTGAGACTGTCTGATGCGACTCATTAATGCAACTTAAATTAGTGCTTATACAAGATGCTCTGGCTACAACTCAACCAAAGGGGAGGAGCCCATAAACTGCAGTGGGAGGAGGCAGACCATAAATGCAAAGGCTGGAACAAGGCAAAGCAAGTAAGAATATTCATGCCTTCTGACCCTCTCATTACACTGCAGTATGAAAATTAGGCCTTAAAAAAATATTTCCTCACCAAATGAACTGCAGAAAAGTGGGGACTGTAGAGCAGACTATAAATCACAACAAGTTTATTTGCAGCATCCCACCATACCAGAGCTATTAATTCAAATGTCTCACATATCCTAGCTGAAGAAAAGTCAAGTCAGAATAGAGTCAAACTGAACTAATGAATCTTGCAACTCGAAGGATCTTGAAGTAATGATTACTTTTCCAGGATCAGAATTACCTGCTTGCTCCTCGTCAACATCCATAGGAATAACTGCTGGATTATGAGCAGAGGCCTCATTCTGACCATCCCCTGCAGCCCCTCCATCATCCTGTGCCACTTCCTCCATATCATTCAGTGCTGAAAAGATCAAGACAATAAAAATCAACCGTCAAGAAAAAGAAGCCAAAGCACATAGCTCAATATATGTAGAAGGATTTCAAGTGATAATCACACTGAAGTCACAGAGAGGCACTGTAGTGCTGTGATATCACTAACAGTAGCTGCCTTATGTCCTCACTGAGTCATGCTGAAGCCTCTCAGAGATTATTGGTTCTGTAACTTCTAGGGGATTCGGGCCCAATTCTATACTCTTGGTTTTGCTGAAGGAAGTGGCTCCTTCAGGATTCTCCATTCTTTGTCCTGAAAAGGTTCCTTGCATTACCATGACAAGTTCATCTGGTTGAAGTCTTTATGCTGCTTTCCCCAGAACATTTGTATCATTTCTGGGTAAACTGGATGGTATGCTACAAAGTAATGTGATGCAATCCCAACCCTGACCAAGGGAGCTCAAATCACAAATTAATATTTCTCTGTGGAGCAGTACAGTATGCAATCTTTAAACTGCTGGGCTAGTATCTATATTATTGTTTATCTTTAAATGACTTCTTGTTATGATAGCATAGATCAACCATTAGATTTAATACGCAGATCAAGTTTGCATCTTATGGATAGATACTAAATAGAGGAGATAAAGAGGGTAGCCTTCAAACTATGGAGTTAAAGAGTGTCTTTCAATACACATTCACTTTTTGCCTACAGTCCTGTGCAAATGGCAATGCAAAATATGACCATTTCTTTCAGAGGCTCACAAAAGATCAGTGGTTACCCTCAGCTGCAATCTGCTGCTCTTCCACCTGCCCATCTTGCCGCAGCTCATTCTCCTCGTTCTGGTCATTTGGGTGTTGATGGTTGTTGTGATGGATGTTGGGGTTGTTGTTGTTCTGGTGGTTGTTGTTGTTGTCGTTATCATTGTTGGAGTTCTGATTACTGACTAGGGCAGATGAAACACCAATCCCTGTGCCAGCACTCAGGCCCACACGAGCACAGCCCTGAAATAAACAAAAACACAAAAAGATTCTAAATTACTGATGTCAAATCTCCACAACCTATCCTAACATTGATACAAAACCATTGTATCAATACTGTCATATTTGTGGTTGGGCAGTATGTGTGTAGATATGGAGAAGAATCTGCTCACAGAACTTTCTGTACTTACATTGCATATTTGGTTGCCAAATTTACACCTTTCCCTTTCCTCTTTTAAACTGGCATTAAAAATGTAAAGTTCAATAGCACACTCTTATGGTAAGAAGTTGTAATGCATAGGTCATAGGATCAGAGAAGCTAGAAATGAAAGAAAATCTAGTAGAAGAGTTTGTATTTCCTTTCCAGAGCAGGATGGGCACTAGACAGAGGACAGATATTAAGATGATGCTACTGTTGATTTTCTAGTAAAAAACAAAAACATACAAAGGTTTCTGGAATAATCTTATCATTAAGAAGTATTTAGTACGTTGCCACAGTTGTGAAAATTGTTATTAGAAGACATTTAACAGTTTGGGGGGGGGAGGAGGGAGGGAATGAGGAGGGGAGACAAAAATCAGAGAATCTATATATGAAAGTATTCACATACATGAAGGAATAGTACCACAAATTTACCATGTTACAAAATCATAAGAATACTTAGTACAATGTGCAATTCTCTCAATACAAAAATAAGTCTCATGCAAAAAAATAAAAAAATAAAATATCCAAAATAGCCATGAAAACCCTAATAAAAATTCGGACAGTACATCTAAACCTTCTTTTCTGAGGACAACAAAATATTCAATCATTAGTACCACATTCCACCACTACTGCTGTCTGCAAATGGATACAACTGTTCTTCATTGAATTTCACAGATTCATAGATCATAAGGCCAGCAGGGAAAACTGTGATACTCTAGTTTGACCTGCATAATATAAGCCATAGAACTTCAGAGCATATCTTTTAGAGAAACATCTTTCATGGCAATCGTATTCCTAAGTCACTCACTGAACTATTTAATTAATTATAACTATAAAAAACATGTACCTTAACAGAACTCTGGTATATTTCAGATGCCCTAGCAATAATTTAAAAAACCAAACCTCAAAATTTACCTTAGGAGGTTCCCGGAACATCTGGTCCAGAGAGATAAACTCCAAGCTTGGCAGTAATTCAATGAACTGACTAAAAGAATCTAGCTTTATTGCATGGCATCGCACCAGGGTGAGGTCAACTAGCCGGGTCCATCTTGAATGATCTGTGGAAGGAGAGAGATATATGCTCCTTGAAGGATTTCAAGCCTCTTATCTTGGGGCGAAGGACCTGTCTGGTTTTTTAAGATTAAGCTAGATAAGTTTATGGAGGGAATGGTTTAATGGAAAAACATGATTTTAGTCAAAGGAATACCGTGCCATGGCAGGTAAATAGTATAATGGCTAACAAGGGTCTGGCTGGAGAATCTTGCCTACATGCTCGGGGTTTTACTGATCGCCATATTTGGGGTCGGGAAGGAATTTTCCTCCAGGGTAGATTGGCAGAGGCCCTGGAGGTTTTTCGCCTTCCTCCGCAGCATGGGGCAGGGATCGCTAGCGGGAGGATTCTCTGCCAATTGAAGTCTCTAAGCCACAGGATTTGGGGACTTCAACAGCAGAGTCAAGGGAAAGGGTAGGGACGGCTTTGTGGCCTGCATCATGCAGGGGGTCAGACCAGATGATCAAAATGGTCCCTTCTGACCTTAAAGTCTATGAGTCTATGAGTCTATTAGAACTTTTGCAGATTTGAGACGGTTAGCCTTCCATTACCACCGCTCTGACAGTTGAAGTTTATCAGCATCATTGGGGTTCCAAATTTCTGCATCTCCATATTTGTTTATCGTGGGACAATAGTTAGCAGAATTATGGAAAACCTTCCATCATTATTAGGGCTCTCTCTCTGTTTGGGGTTTTCTTTGCCCTACCAGTATTTTAAAATGACGCCGACTGGGGAAAGGGATAATTCTGGTGTCCGCTAACTGTGTTACTTTCATCATTCTGTAACCAGTCTGAATACAGCCAACATCTATAATGACTGTTCACGACCTATATGAAAAGCATTTGTAGTCTCAGTCTAGCTCATAATAGACAAGGATCTGCAATCACAGGAATCACTATCGTAATTAGCACTAATTTGCACTCTCGTCAACTCTCAGGAAAGGGGACCAGAGTAGAATCAGTGATAGAGACGAAAATATACTCTCATCACCAGATGTGGTCCTGAAAAGTCAGAGTTCAAGCACAATGAAGCATCGTGAACACTTTTGAATTGGACTATCCATATTAAATGGGTACGTTATTTTATATGATGCACTATTCCACTATATTTCTCACTTACTAATTTGCAAACATCAATCATTCCTAACTACTATACCAATCTACAGTGCAAATTAACAATATTCTGCTTGTGTGTATACATTATATACACACACAGAAGGCATGACATTCAACTACCAAATCTTTAAAAAAAAACCTGACCATTTCTTGGTCTCAAATGTTTCCTTAAATTGCAGGATTATGATGTTCATTTACTGAAAGGAGTTGAACTACAAATCTTCATCCTGATGTGAGGCGTTCACACTGTATCTTCCAAAAGCATTCAATACCTGTGATCCAATTGTTTGGGTTGTGCAGATGTGGGCAGTTGTACACGACCAGATACTTGATGCAAGAGAATACTTCATTTACAGCCTTCATTCCAATGTCTGTGATGATTCCTGGATTTTCAACCACATCAGCCAAGCCATACTTTACCAAGTCCCCATTAGTCATTTTGCCTATAGAAAGACAATAGAAGATTTCAGCAATCTGCCGCTTCAGAAGTTGCAGCCTTTTAGATAAGCCTTTTCTGAATTCCATACTGTAATCCCATTTGACACAAAGACCAGAATATTACTTTCATTAGACAAAGCAAAGTCTCTGTCCAGTTACAATGGGAAGTTTCAGGGGGTACAGAAAAAACATATCTAACTATACGACACAAGATTCAAGAGCAATAATTATTTATATTCTTTTAAAAGCAAGTCTTAGAAAAATACACCAAAACTATCAATTTGCATTATCCTAACCTTAACCCTCACCAGGTAATTTAAGAATTTTTTTAAAAAATGTTCATACATTGTAGCAAAAACTCATCAACATATCCCAGATGAAGGGTTTCAAACTGTGGGAACTCCAGTTCTGCCATCTTCAGTGCAGAAAAGACACCATCTTTGGTCAGGGAAGGTTGAATTCGCACTTCATGCAACCTAAAAGCAATCAAGTACAGTTCACATTCAAGGTGAGATGCAACAAAGCACTGTTTAGTACAGAAAACATCTGAGTGAATGCCTCTGTTCCACTCTAGGCAGTAAAATGAAAACATTTATTTGACAATGGTGAAATCCTGTCACCTGTATCCTTCAGTGACAGTATTTTGCAGTTATACAGTGAGGAACTTCAAGCAATTTATAAACACTAATTAAGCCTCATACACACATGTGAGGAAAATACTATTATACTCATTTTACAGATGACAAAGTGCAGTGACTTGGCTCAGGCCACAGAACAAGTCAGTGACAGACCTAATAACAGAACCCAGGCATGGTAAGTCCCAGTCCTTTCCTCTAGCCATTTGGTATTCTTATTATAGATTGTAAAAGTTCACATGGGTTTTCTCTTAAACATTTAAAACATCTTGTTCTTCAAACATTGGGAATTTATTAAGTTACCTAAACAACTGTGATTTGAAGAGAGAGAAACCAGAAAGGAAAGACAACGGCTGGGGAAGGCAAGTACCTTCGTGCAGCAGTTATGATGAGGTAGCCAAGATCCACTTCAAGAGCATTCTTGCAAGCTCCCAAAACTATAGTGTGCAAATTCCTAAAACCACCTGATAAGGGGAAAGAAAAGCAAAATTTCACTTTAGTGAATGGGTTGTGGCATTAAAACATTACTCATTTTCCTGGTGTTATTTTACCAATGCACTATTGCAATTAACAAGAATACATGCCATTTTTAAGCAAATTAATATAAGCTTCCTTATGTTGACACCTACTGGTAGGAGGTAGCCCTGACTATCACAACAGAAGCTTCTCAAGAAGCTATTTTTTAAAAAATTAAAAGTGACCTTCTTCCAAATTATTTCTGCCACTTCTCCCCTCTAGAATGGAGGTGGCCAACCCAAGCCTGAGAAGGAGCCAGAATTTATCAATATACATTGCCAAAGAGCCACAGTAATAAGTCAGCAGCCTCCCATCAGCTTCCCCCTCCCCCCGCTGCCAGCTCCCAGCGCCTCCCGTCCACCGACAACTCCGCTGATCAGCGCCTCCCCCTCCCTGCACCTCCCGATCAGCTGTTTAGTAGCGTGCAGGAGGCTCTGGAGGTGAGGGGGAGGAGCGAGGGCACGGCAGGCTCAGGGGAGGGGGCAGGAGCGGGGGCAGGGCCTGTGGCTGAGCAGTGAGCACCCCCCGGCACATTGGAAATTTGGCACCTGTAGCTCCAGCCCCAGAGTCGGTGCCTATACAAGGAGCCGCATATTAACTTCTGAAGAGCCACATGTGGCTCCGGAGCCACAGGTTGCCCACCCCTGCTCTAGAAAGTGAAATGACAGTAAAGATTGACATTTGGTTGGAATGTCAAAAGGTAGCAATTCTTTAATAGTTTCCATTGTTATAGAAATATATAATTTCAATTTAACTTAGCTTTTATTTGTTTTCAGTATTAGTATACAAAAATGTGTCACTAAAGCATACAGTTATACATATAAGATTAAAACAATATCCAAAATAAAATAGAAGTCCATTATTAACACCCTTTGAACAAAGCTAAAAGCATACTAGTGAAAGAACAAACTGTAGAATAAGAGCGTTACCCATCAGGTGCCCTAGGTAATTTTGTTCTATTCTTCCAGGCAGTAGGAAGTTGTATACCTGATCTCCAGCTATCTTCTACAACATGCTGGATAAGTCCTCCAAGAAAAGGAACTCGAACCAGTTCTAAATGCTCCAGGTTTCGGGCAGAAGCCAAACCCGTCACTAAAGGGACATATTTCAAAGAATTTGTGGGTCCTGCAGAGAAAAAGAATCTTCTGATAGGGAACATATACACAGAAAGTGGCTTATTTAATTATATTGAACATATCATCCAAATAATGCAGCCATCAGATACGCCAACCTGCATGTGCTCAGTTCAGCAAGTAATCAGAACTAAGAACTAGAGGTGTTCTCCTATTAATGTAACAACTCAATACAGCATAGGATATTTTTTTCTCAATATGGAACATGAAATAAAGCCTTTGATTGCTTCTGGAGTACTGCATGATGGGCAATCCCAAGACCTTATCTGCATTAGAAAACTTAGTAAACTTACTACAGCAACTGCCAGCAATGGTGCAGCTGTACAGGTGTAAGTGCTATGGTAGACAGGGCTAAGGCATTTTTTACCATCATGTTATGAAACCTGTTCTGAGCTAGTGTCCTTTAGTAGTCTAGCACTAATGCAGTTGCAATATCATTAGTATAGGTACTAGTTTTTTCCTATATAGACGCATCCCTTCCCCAGAAGGATTCTCTTTTCTCTTACCTGCACAGTTCCTCATGACAAAAGTGCGTAAGCTGATACAAAGAAAATCTTTAAAGGGCTGTGGTTTGGTGAGCCTCACCCACTTCAAATAAAGATGCCTCAGCATTGGGATACAAGGAATTTCAGGGACATTTACCCCTAAAATACAGAACAACAACAACAAAATCAAATCAGGTCCCACATTAAACAAACTTTCAGATGTCAACTGTAGAATGAATCTCTCAGGGCACGTCTACACTACAAAATTAAGTCAACCTAGGTTAGGTCGGCATACAGCTGCCACAGAAATTACATCGTTTGTGCGTGTCTACAGTTTGCTCCTTGTGTTGGCTGTGCACGTCCTCACCAGGAGCATTTGTACTGTTTGAACTGTCAATGTGGGACAGCTTCTGAAAGCCAGCAACAGTCAATGTAAGCAATGCAGTGTCTATACTGACACTGCGTCAACCTAATTACATCAATACTGATTCTATGCCTCTCATGGAGGTGGAGTTATTAAGTTGGTGTAGTGGGCGAGTTACGTCAGCTGGAGCGGAATTTTAGTATAAACACTTATAGAGTTAGGTCAATATAAGCTGCCTTGTGTCGACCTAATTCTGTAGAGTAGACCAGGGCTCAGGGTAATTAGAGAAACCAGATGGGTGAGGTGATATCTTTTATTGGACCAATTTCTGTTGCTGAGAGTCAAGCTTTCGAGCTTACACAGAGCTCTTCTTCAGGTCTGGGAAACTCCCTCAGGCTGTGTCTACACAAGCAACTTATGTCGATATAACTACGTCACTCAGCGGTGCGGAATATCCACCTCTGAAGCGACGCAGTTATACCAACCTAACTCCTGGTGTAGGCAGCACTATGTTGACAGGAGGGCTTCTCTGGTCGACATAACTACTGCCTCTTGGGGAAGTGAATTACCTACACTAACAGGAGAAACCCTAGCGTCGGCATAAGTAGCAACTTCACTGAAGTGTTACAGTGGCACTGCTACAGCCTTTGAAGTGTAGACAAACCCTCAGAGTGGTCACAGCTAAATTCAAGATGGAACAGATTGTTTAGCATACGTAGTTAACACATATTTCAAGGGACCATACAAGTGAAGTGGCCTGTTAACACCCTTCCAGTCATTAAGGGTGGGGGAGAAGCAGGAGGGTAGGGATTGTAAAGTGGGTTATAGATTGTTGTAATAAACCATTAATCCAGTGTCTCTAATCAGTCCATGATTTTTAGTGTCTAACAACACATCTCTCAGGGTAAATGATTTTGACTTTGATGGCGGGCACTTACACCCATCTCTACAGATTGCGCCCCAAGAGCAAATGGAACACTTCAAAAACTATGGGCCCTTGAACTGGGAATTCACCACCATAGGCACCAACTTTCTCCAGCGCCGGTGGGTGCCCGCGCCCCCAACCCCTTTCCCCGCTCCATCCCCACCCCCATTCCCGAAGTCCCCGCCCTAACTCTGCCCCCTCCCTGTCCCATTGAATCCCTTCCCTGGCCCCGCCTCTTCCCCCAGCACACCGCATTCCCCTCCCTCCCCGCCCCGCGAATCAGCTGTTTCCCGGCGCAAGCGCTGGGAGGGAGGGGGGAGAAGCAGGACGCGGCGGCGCGCTCACAGAGGAGGTGGAGGTAAGCTGGAGCATGGGGGGGAGCTGCCAGTGGGTGCTGAGCACCCACCAATTTTTTTCCGTGGATGCTCCAGCCCTGGAGCACCCATGGAATCTGCGCCTATGTTCACCATCATCTGTCAACACAGTCACACTGGAGTTTGCGCTCTGGACCTCTGCTGGCCTAGAGTCAAACATAGGTTCCAGATTATGCAGCATTTCAAATCTTTTAAGTTCATTTGTATCTATGGCAACTACTTCACCAATAAACTCTTACCTACTAAGTGTAATGTCTGAATTTTAGCTCCTATAGGAATTTTCAGTTTGTTTTCAGGCGGGATTGGAAAAGCACCATTACGATTACGAAACTTCCCTAAAATATGAACTTGTGGCATGTATGTCCAAATGGCTTCCACCAGCTCCAAATGAGAGGTCTCAACACCCTGGATAAAAGTACAACAGTAAGCAAAGGTAAGGGTCCAATTACCATATTAAGCAACAATAATATTTCTCTTAACCAAGTAAACTTCTCGGTAATGCTCAGAGCTTGATACAATGCATTAATTTACTTGATATTTGAAGAACCATTTGCCTTAAAAGCAGAAGTGGTCATAGGAAACTACTTAATTAGCTGCAATGCTGCTGTAATTCATGGCCTGATCTTGAGAGATGCTGAGTACCTGTAACTCCCATTGAAGTGACTACAAAAAAAACAGCACCCACTTGTAAACTAGCAGCACATTTTGTAAACGTTTACTTCAGCTGCCATCAATGCAAGACAAGGATTAAATGCACACTACTGCATCCTAGCAAGAAGATACAACATTGAGTTTTTTATCCCAACCATCTATTTCCTCTGCAGCCTTATCAAGGATCATAATATCAACTGATGAAAGGCATTTATCTTTTCAACCTGCACACTTACCAGCAGATTTGGGCAGGCCTGCAAGGCCTCTAGCACTCCAGGAATGCTGAAAGCTTCATGGCCACGGACTCTGCGCCTTTCAAGGTACCTGGGGTGAAGACCATAGAGTTGTTCAATGTCTGGCATCTTCCTCAGCAACGTTAGGAAACTGGAATCAGTGAAACCTATGAGGAGGACACAAGTTTTGAATTTCTTGTGACAGTAAACATCTAGCTGTACGGACAGAACTTATGCTGCAATTCTCTGTGTATAGTAAAAGAAAATTCCTCAGCCCTCCGATGCCAGAAGAGGTAGTAGATGATATAATAGATGGTTTCCATCCCCGGCTTCTATGAACTAATATTCTATATGTTCTGTTGCCTTTATATCATTCAGGGCAGCTGTCAAAACTACAGGGCTAGCTGCATTTCTGTCCTCTCTCAGTGCACCTCCATGAGTGTCAGGCCTCATCCATTTATCTTCCCCTGGGGGGGAATCCCATTATTCTCCCACTCTTAGATGAGGCCCTGGTCTACAGGACCCCATGTATCAACAGTGCTAACCCAGCAGGTCTGAGGGTTTTGGTACCTGTAGTTTTTCCCTTTGAGAATCTGTGCCCAGCGGTGAATACAGTAATCAGACAGCCTTCTTAAACCAAAGTACTGATTAGTCATAACAGTCGGAACAAAATACAAGAGAAAAAGGATTTTAAAACAATAAACAGTCTGTATACATGGATCTCTCATCTCGACATCCTCCTGACAGGAACCCCTGTTAGTCTAACTTCCCAGACACTGCAACCTCTGGAGTGTCACTCACCATAGCTCTCCTCTCCCTCATCCCCAGTGTATCTTTAAATCCAGTGCAGGTCTTACTGTTCAGAAGCTTGCTCCTCCCACCCCTGACAAATTCAATGGGTGAGCTCAGCAAGGGGGTGGAGGTAGAACCTCCAAGTGAATGGCTCTTGCACTGACCTTGAAGCGTTGGCAGATGAAGTCGTACTCTTTCTTACCTGCGTGCAAACAGCTTCTTCTTGAATTACCCCATGTATTCATACAGTAAACCCCCTTACAACAAACATACATTATTTATAAGTTGTTACAGAGCAGCCCCATTTTCATCACCGTAGTATTCAACACACATACAGGCAGGGTTTTCAAAAGTACTGAAGGGAGGAAGGCACCAACTACACCTCTACCCCGATATAACGCGACCCGATATAACATGAATTCTGAACGCAGTAAAGCAGTACTCTGGGGGCGGGGGGAGGGCGGGGCTGCGCACTCGGGCGGATCAAAGCAAGTTCGATATAACGCGGTTTCACCTATAACGCGATAAGATTTTTTGACTCCCGAGGACAGCGTTATATCAAGATAGAGGTGTACCACTGAAAGTCAGTGAGCGGTAAGCACTTACCTTTCTTGGCTGCTTTCAAAAAGCCCATCCCTTATGTCTGTGTATAAATGATATCAGCTCAGCTAGGTCTCATCAATACCTCATTAACATAATACCCACATGAAGTGTACTACTTACCAGTGGGCATGTATTCCCACCAGCGGCCTGCACAGAGGTCCACGACCTTCACCACTCTCAGGTACAGAGTCACCGCTTCCTTCAGCTTCCGGGAGAGACATTCCATGCACATGATATCCTGCAGGGGAAGGTACCTTTGGGATGGAAAGAAACTCTGTTCATCAAAGACTTTAGTTCATTTTCTCTCATACCAAATAACATCCAGAGAATTACTCTACAAACCCAGACGTTCCTAACATCTAGAAAAGTATGGATTCAAATGAGATTTTTCAGATAGTACTGTAGCAACCTATGTAATGTGGCTAGGCAGAAGGGGTTGCATTTTGTTCATCAGGCAGCCAATGCACTTAAGGTAAAAAACAGAACAGTAGCCTTGTCATATCGATAAGGGTCTGAGGTAGAGACGGGAGACTCTGGGATGCTTTAGAACATGTAGGACCTATTTCATTTCTTGCAAAGTTGCCATTCACGGAGATCCGGAAACTTTATAGCTTTAAAGTGTGCATTCTAATTCTCTAGTTCATTGTAAATTGGGATCCGTTTAGCAGCAGCTGCCACTGCATTAGCCCCACAAACATACTTGCAATCTGTGTGACATTTTAAACTTGTCAGCAAGATATTGACATGCCAGTCACAGATACTCTTAGACTTTGAATAATGTAAAATTGTAGTTAGAGTATTCCATTTATTTTTAAAATGGAATGAAGCATTTGACTAAAACTCTCAGTGGCAGGGTCAATGCTGCTCCAATATACCCAGACATGCATCACTGCATCTCTTGTAATGTATGCACAGTAACTGAGCTTATCAGAGACATTGTAGTGCATGGCTGCACACCTTTGAGCACGATCATGCCTAAAACCTGTAGGAAAGATTGAACAGCAAGACTGCAGTACTAATAGTACAGGAATCTGTATGAGTGAAACAAAGATATGCAACAAATTTTAGACATTCATCTACAAGGTATAAAAAGATATAATATTCATTCTAAGGCAAATTGTTATCTGTCATCAGTATACACTTGCAGACTTTTTTTAGTCAAGCTTAACTTAAAAAATAAAAGATATAATGTTTCTCTGCTCTTTTGCTTGCTTCTACATGATACTAATAGCAATTTTCACATAAGTTAGTTTTCAGGGTACGTGACTATATCAAGGAATATGAAGCATGTTTCTCTGGAGAGGTAACTTATTTATATAGTGCCACCTATGTGCTTAGTTTTAACAAAACAAATAAAGGTAGAATTCCACAAGAAACAAATTCCATACATTTCCTTTGTATTGTCCAGCAAAACCTCATCCAGAAATACTGAGGTCTAAATTTAATTCCCATCTAATTACTGGTGATACAGCTAGTATTTTCTGAATGCCTGTCATTTGATTTTTATTCACAGATACCAAAGTGGAAGGGATGGGGAGACAAAAAAATACAGCTTCTTACCTAAAGATATGGCAAAGTACTTCATGTGAGAGCTGGTTCATATAATCTTTTGGCTCATCTAGTTTGGTAGTTTCAGAGACTTCCCTACTCATGCAGCACGGTTTCACATTTTTCCGTCGAGGCCCCATATTTGCAATGATTTCTGATTAAAAGGATCAATTTTTACAATGTTATACAAATTCAGTGCAACTGAAAGACAAAAGGTGGGAGAAAGGGTACAGAGTAACAAACATTAGTTTATAGAAGGACTCAACAAATTCTGCCACTAAAAATTAACTCTAGAATGCCATTATCCAAATGAATCAACTAAAAAGTGGAAGGATTATTCTGGGAAGATATAAATCAATCTGCCTTGTGTATGAAACTGGAAAAAAATTCCAGACAAATGAATGAAGACTAACTAGAAAGTCTCTTTGAACTAAGTAAAATTAGTAAACAGAATACCACCTGGATCTCTTATAATTAAATTACTGGGATATTTACATAAGTCGCTTCTGTAGTAGCCTTTTTCTAATTTAGAAAACAATAAAATGTCTCTGGAATTGCCACCCACATATCAATGAGCAAAGACATCTCATGGAAAAATAGATACAGATAATTACTAACCAAAGTGGACACATTTCAGTGTACTAGGTCCAATCCAAAAGGAAATTATTCTGTACTAAAAAGGAAAGGCTCTTACAATCTTGCTTAAAGTTCTTAACTCAGCAATGCTACAATACATTTAATCTCTATTTTTATTGTTAAATTTGTAGCTTACTATATTTCTGTAAATATTGTTAACCATAATTTTATATCTAATGTGCAATTTTCTGCTACTGAAATAATCCAAACCAAATGTTAGCAGTTTTGGCATCCATTTGTTTAGTTTTAAAGAAAAAGTGCCATGTTTAATAACTCTAATTAAGTTGACACCTCACAGAGATGTATGGCATGCGGTAGGAAGAGTTCACATCCTTGCTACTGCTGCTGTTTAGTTCAAGACTGTTTTCTGGACGGTTATGTTGACAGAGCATTGTTAAACCAGTTAACTTTGTCATGGATTTAACTTTCAACAGAAAGAGATGAAAACATTTTAGTAATGAAAGTTCAGAATTTCCAGACGGCAACAAAAATTGTGTAAAGACTCCAAAACTGTGATATACACAAGTTTTGGATAGCCTATATTTTCTCCTGATCATGATGGTAAATTATTATTTTTATGAAAAATTATTTTGTTCAGTTTAATTCAATTAATACAAAACTATTTGTGGGGGTCTTTCCCACAACAAGAAAATGATTGTACAACAACCAATAATTGGCAGGAAGACTCAGGGCAGGTGGACATGAAGATACTTTGAGTTAACTTTTTTAAGCTGACTAGATTTTAAGTGGACTGTGTCCTCTAACATGTAAAGTGTCAACTTTCATCATTTCTCTGTGATAAGTGTTTTGTAGGAAATGTGTTTCCTAGCTTCACAATATGCAACAACAGATTTTTCTTCAGTTTTCCACAAACTAAAATTCATCTTTTGGTTGAGACTAAACATGGAAAATTGCAACCGAGTGTGTAAAAATACGAAATTATCAAAATCATCTGTTGCAAACATTGTGGTTAATGTTACAAAACACTATATGTTGATGTTAAACGTTATCATTTAACTACATATTGTATTTCTACTGTGATTCTAGCAATAGCCACAATACAAATAGTACATTCCATGATTTCCCCTCATTCTTTATATTCCCAATACCCGGGGTCTTTAGCTGCTCACAACCAGTTCATTTAACTGATCTTGGTTCTCTTCCTTCTTTGGTCAAGTAGTAGATGAAGGAGAATAGATTAAAAAAGGACTGAAGGGTAAAGCACTGATAAATTGTCCTAACCTGAAGTAAGTATATTTCAAAGGCAGGCTGACGGGCATATAAAGAGCATCTTATAACAGATTAGAGAAAAACTGTATTCACCAAATGCAAGTTTTGCATCAGATCGAAAACCTCAAAACGTTATGAACATCACTGAGATCGAATGATGGAAAAAGGTTTTATTTAATAGCTAATTTGTCAGTATTCTAAATTTTGAAATCAAACAACACACACCAAGGTAATAACAATATCTCTTGAGGGGAAGGAGGTTGGTAAGGGATATTTGGCCCTACATATACTGTAGGTTTTACAAAACTTAGCTTTTACAAATCCCAATATCAACAGAAATGTTTGTTTCTATATCCATCCATTATAATATTTTCAGTTGAAATATTGCAGCATTGTTCAAGTGTACAAGAGAGTGAAATTGACTAGAAATTACCCATAAACAAATGTGAGATTATTCTATTTATTTTGCCCAACCTGGTAGATTACTGCATGTAGTAAATACATAACATAACCAAGGAAGATTAGGTTTATAAAACCGTCAGATTAATATTAAGGTTGTTTGTAGCAAATCTACTTTAATTGTATGATTTTTAATGTGACAGGATCCTTTTTTAAAGCCTTCTAAATATAAGCATCTCTGTAACTATACGATCATAGTACTGTTCTCACACGGGCCCACGAAATCACACACTCTTTACACCTCCATAAAAGGAGGAACGCACAGGCCAACTAAATATTTTATCACCAACCAACAGGCAAGGATCAGGATCCCAACTGAGCCACCCAGCACATCTTTAAGACAAGATTTCCCAAACAAGATCCAGAGACACTGGGGAACTTTGGTACAGATTTTTATAAATGGGTATCCAAGTTTTGCTATGTTATATGGATTCCAAGTGAATTTCACCATACTCCTGCAGTTGGAGGACAGACAGACAGCAGCAGAGAATGGAAAACATTTTAGTTTTATACAGAGTTTAAGATATTTCAAGGTAAAAAGAGTGTCTGATATAAGATAACGCATGAAAAGGAAGATTTAAGTCAAGTAGAAGGTAAGTCAGTGGTTTGAAGTGGAGGAGGAAAACAGGAAGAGCTCCACAGAGAAGTAAAAGAGCCACCTCCACCTGTGGGAGTCCAGTGCAGAAAATCTAAAGGTATGAGTTAGTCTACATGAGCAGCTCCAGACTTTTCTCTGGTGATGACTGTGCTTTGAATTAGATCTCCTCACTGAGGCACAAAATACCTGGTCTCCCAGAACTATGTAATCTTCATAGAGCAGTGTGGGGGGGCATCTGGCAATGATTGTAGGGAATAAGTCTCTACATACAAGTTTTTAAAACTAACATTCTCACTATTTTAGTTCTACTGTTTTAGAACAAATGACTCTTCTAAACAATCCATACATATTCCTTCGATATTTAAACAAAGCAGGCAGAAAATGCAGAGAATTTTATTCTTCTCAATTTAATATAATTAAGGTAAAAAAATTGATCCTACATGAACAATGGTTTGATGTGTTATATTCTCATGACTTTTGTGTTCAACTTGAGAAGTTTAGAAAACTCCTGTTTTGATTTGTAACAACCAGAACTGTCAGCTTAGCCTCCTTTTGGAAATCAAACTGAGCCATTTCAAAAACAACAGCAATTGTGGAATCAGTGAGCTGTCAATTCTGTTGACAGTTTGCAAAGCAGAATACAACCCAGATCAAACTGCTGGTCTGAGTATTGTAAAACTTGGTTTCATCAGTAGACATAGTAGCACTGACCTGGAAGACAGGGGGAGCAAATATATGCTAACACCAGGGACTACTTAATAAGTACCACTTGAGACAATAACCACATGCTATCTTCTCTGGCATTCCTGTATCTGGATTCCATAAGCTGATCCTAAAAAATGTCTGTACATTTTTGTTTAGTGCAGTAGGCGAAAGGCAATGCAAGATGGATAATTACCAATCCCCATCTTCTAGTGTATCTTTGCTATTCACCTTAAATATGTCTGCTGCTTGGGGATATTTTGGGAGGGAGGGGCAGGGGGAACATCCTCCTAGAAGTTATTTTGTGTGAACTAAGTTTTCTATTGCATCCTGTCTCTGAGATAAGTGGATTTTTCAACCCTTTCCAGGTGGTACTTTAGAAGAGACATCACTACTTTTCAGGCCTGTTTGATATTGTGATGATACATTACTCAAGTTTAATTCCCTTTCTTTGAAGTAACTAGGAAGAAACACAAGAAAAAGGGGGGAGCAACTAGCAAGTACCTCCACCTGCCCCAGGTTTGGAATGATGAGGCAGAACACGGCATCAAGAGGGATGAAACAGGGTCTCCCAGGGCAGCCTCATGCCGGTGGGGAGACAGGGCAGCAAGTCCGAAAGGAATGGGGAGAGCGAGAGAAAGACACTCCCTCTACATGGCAGAGGGGACCCACCCCAGCAGGGAAAAGGTCACCCGGACAGCGGGTCTCCCCCAGGCCACTGCCGATGGAAAGGGCCCCTCCCCCATTCCCAGCGGCAGGCCCTGGCGAGAGGTCAGTCAACCAACCCCCGCAACAACGGCCGCCGGCCCCAGCGCCCGCAACGGTCATCGCTGCCAGCGATCCCAGGCCCAGGCCCCCTCCCGCGGCGCCCACCAGGAAAGGGGGGCACGCGCCACTCCCCCTTCCCTTCCACAGGGCCAGGCCAGGCCCGGCGCCTCCCTCCTGCCCCCGGGGGCGCGTGTGCGGGGAGCCAGAGCAGCCGTACGCAACCCTAAACCTCCCCTCCCGGCCCCGCCACCCCTTACCTGGCCGCCAGTGCCGCCTGTTATTGTGACTGCGGGGGGGAGGGATAATCCCGACAGACACTTCCGGCCACCCAGCGCTTCCGCTTCCGCCAGCGTCCGCCGAGCTTCCGGTCCCTGAACCCAGAACTGGGGAAATCAACCCTCTCTGCGGCCCTCCCGCGCCACCATCTTGGATGTGGCACTTCGCGCATATTTCCATTGCAGCCCAATCGCCGCCATCTTGGTTGTGGCTTCTCTGCCCTCGGGCGAATGGCGTCTCTGTGTGGGCGATGGGAGGGAGTAGGAGGAATCCCAGCACCGCCCCAGTCTGTTACTCACAGGTGGAGGCCAGGTTTACTGCCCTGTAAGAGCAGGCACAGCCACCAGCAAACCTATCCGTCCCCTGTACCATCCCTCCCAGGCTCAGCCACCAGCCCCCACTTGGTACAGGGCAGTGCAGCTCCCTAGGGCCCAAGGCCAGCAAGTAGCGGGCAGATGACCAGGTTGGAGCATGGCACAGATCTGATGTCTCACAATTGTGTTGTACATCTGAACCCCAGTGTCCGGGCCCAGGCTGGCTGGGAAGAGGGAAAGAGGGGGAGAAGAGAGGAAGGTCCAGATCCTCAAAAGCATCTAGGAGCTTACATACCTTTGAGGATTTGGGTCTAAGCCTGCTTGTGCATGATATTCACCTGTGCATTGTGAGAGTCCAGTGGATGTAGAGACACTACCACTAGGGGACAAAAAATGGAATATTCATTTTTTTGCATCGAATATCCACTGAGCCCATAAAACTGGACAGCTGGCAACATGTGCACAGTACCCTTACAGATTTCAATCCACCCATGCACAAGCCCTTTTCTGTTCATTTGCCACAAGCGTTCATCTGAGCAAGGCCTTATCCATATGTCTATTTACAGAAAAGGAATTTTATTTGGGGCTTGTAGAGAGTCTTTTAATCAAGAAACAAAGTTCAGATTAACACATTTATTAGAGCATAAGCTTTCGTGGACTACAGCCCACTTCTTCGGATGCATCCGAAGAAGTGGGCTGTAGTCCACGAAAGCTTATGCTCTAATAAATTTGTTAGTCTCTAAGGTGCCACAAGTCCTCCTGTTTTTCTTTTGGCGGATACAGACTAACACGGCTGTTACTCTGAAAGTTCAGATTGTGACACGATACATTTGTTTGGAGGAAAAGCAGAAGTAGTTCCAAAGTGTTTAACTAGTATGGGAACAGAAACAATAACATGTGACTTAAGTGACCATTCTTACAAGTTCAGCAGCAAATTTTGAATAATGAATAGCTAGAAGTATAACATTTCTTCATATAAGCTATGTGTGAAAAAATAATAAGTTTGTAAAAATCATGATCAAGCACACAACTTTGACTTGAAAAATGGTCATACATTATCTTCAAAGATTGTAACACAGCCACAAAGTCAGTGATTGCAATCCTGATAGTTGTCTGTGCCAAAATGTATTGGTGGAATTTGTGTTTCTTCATTCAGAATATCTATTTTAATCAATCCATTTGAACTGATCCTAGTGGAAAATTGCTATTGACTCAAGATCTCCATTATGAGTGTTTCCTACAGATCTAGATAAATCCAACCACAAAGCCTATTCATTATTGAAAATATTTTATTATCTGTGGTTTATTTATGTTATGAAGGCTGATATGTAAAATCAGTTGTTGATTTAATGATTTTTCCCCCTCCCAAAAGCATATACTGCTTTGTGTTGAAAAATAAAATAAGAAAAAAACCTTTTAGTTTACTTTATTGAACAAACATAAGACACAAGGAAGCCAGTAGGAACCCCTGGTGCACAGGATGATTTGAGACTGTCTTTGCTTAGAGGTATTACAACACCTCCTATTTGTGCTTTACACCAATTCATCCATTATTCATCCTAGAGGGGGAAAAGAGACAGTTATAAAACAGACAAAATGAACATAGTGCCTTAGTCTGGAGTAGTGAAATGTTCCAAATAGTCCTCTATTCCACACATTAAACAAAGGAAACTGACACCGAATTAATCAATAATAGCCCTGGATTTACCATTGTGCTAACATTCTCCTCTGTGCTTTATGCCAATGGGGACTCCAGTTTCCCTGGAAAAGAGGAAGAAAGATTAGCCATTATGAGTAAGTACATGGTAGTCACCCTGAAGAGTAAAAACGGTTATAAGGATGCTGTTAAATTAGTTAGATTAACATAAACTGTACAGTTTGAGATAATAGAGTGGGCCAGCCATGTTCATGTACATTTTTTATTCTCTGTTTTATCATTTGTTCCAATATGAACCTGTATCTTCCTTAGTCAGCCACATCCACAGCCCACTTGTGTCCTGGGATTTGTAGTCTGATTCTTCAGTAAGAAACCAAGTCAGAGACATCTATAAAAATGCATTCCACATCAACATTGTTGGGAGTTACACATTCATACTGACTGAAGAATATACTTTGCTCCCAAAAACGATAACTTGGGAGCAATGGAAGAGAGTCTTGAGAGGCTCATGTAACTGCCGGTGTTTAAGTGTATGGAATGGCACTCACAGGTTTCCTCCACTATTTCTCTTGCTCATCCCAGTTGTAAAGTCAGCTGGGCTGCAAGGAATTGTCAAGGTTTCTCCTCCTGGCTACTAGGTACTACTCTCAGGGCTGCTAAGAAGACAACTAAAGTTGCCCCATCCTCCAAGTCCCATTCTCACTGCTCCTGTTGACTTCCTCAACCCATACTGTGCCTCTCAATGCAGCCCGAAAGGACAGGCAATGAGGAGAAGACATCTAGTTCTGGCAGCTTTACACTCCCTTACCCACCTGTCTGCTGGCTCTGGGCAGCAGAAACAGCAACAGCAGCACATTCCATGCCCAGAAGGAGATGTTCTGGGACAATGTACATACGTGGGCAGGAGAGACAGGACATGATGAGAGGAATGTATGTGGGAGAGACAGGATTTGGGTTGGAGAAATGATGCCATTACTGGACATGACAGTGAACTGTAAAAGCCTATACGGATCATGGGGAAAGGTCCTCAGCTGTTACAAATCAACATAGACATCAGTGGAGCAATGCCAGTTTCCCAATGGGAGGATTTGATCCACTAAGAAGTACATGTTTGAGCTTTGTCCCACAGGAATGATATTAGTTCCTTGGACAAGGGGCAGTGTAGAACGATAAATCTGATAGCAGGAAGTTAAGCCAGATACACTTAATCTGTTTGGAGAAAAGAAAAATTTAGAGATGACAAAACAGAGGATTTTTTAAAAAGGAAGAGTAAAATCAGTAGAAATAAAGTCGGGCAGGAGTATTTTACTTAAAGGTGAATAAACAACAAAATATATTACTGGGTAAGCAGTTTGAAGCAGAGTATTAAAAACGAGTACAGGAACACATGCTGCTTTTCTGGCAAAGGCCCAGTCATTATTCATTTTAATTTTCTATCATGTAGGTTATCAAGCATGCAGTGCTCATTGGCCAGGTTTAAATTAGCCAGGTGGTCCCTTTTCTTACTCTGACTTCTGCCACATTTACGGATGTGTAATTCGGGGAATTTATGAACATCTTAACTAGAGCCTAAAGCAGATCAAGACGGCACTGGGGCCCAGATCCACAAAGGTACTTAGGTGCTTAAATGCCAGACTTAGGCACTGAACTATGGGAGTTAGGTGCTTAAGTCCCAGTTTTAGGATCCACTGTGATCCACAAAATTCCTACCAAACGTTGCAGGCACCTAAACTCACTGGGTTCCTAAATTTTGAGGGAGAAATATCCCTAGGTGCTTAAGTTTCTGTCTCTCAGCATGCATGCTGCTTCCTAAACCCACCTAACCCCCAGAGTGATTGACGAACCAGGGAAGACAGCCTTTCGGCTGCCTATCTCATGTATGGGGCCCAATCCAATAAGCATGTTCAGAGTCTGCCTTCAGGATTGGGTCCCATTCAAAATCTGGAGGAGTGGAAGTGGTCCCCAATTTATAACTTTTAGCCCTTTGTTTAGAGCACTCGCCTGGGATGTGGGAGACCCATGTTCAAATCCCTCCTCTGCCTGAGGGGGGAGAAGGGATTTCAACTAGGGTCTCCCACACTTCTCAAGAGGTGCTCTAACTACAGAGGTGTGGGATATTCTGATGAGGGCTCCCTCAGTCTCCCCTGATGAAGCTGTTCCACTGTGGATAAAAAATTAAAGAGTCATTGGAGCAGGGGGACTGAACCCTCGGTCTCCCAGCTACGTGCCCTAACTACCAGGCTATAGGTTCATTCTCTTATTCACTCTGTCCCAATGACTCTGACTCTTTAAGTATCCATAAAAGTCCCTTTGGGGATCTGGGCTGGGCCATATTGGAAGATAAGTGGAAGAGGACAGACAGGTATTAAATACAATCAAAACAAAGGGCTGTCCATCCTGATCTGTGCATTACAAAAATATCAATATTAAATAATAATCAAGAGATAAGAGACCTGGGGAAATTGATGTTTCCCTCTATGAAGAAAATACATAAATAGAAAAGCTGCTATTAGTAGCTCCCACCATTGGTTTCACTTCATCAAAGAAACGATAAAAGTACTTACCAGATTTTTTCACACAGCAAACATTCATTGCTGTGAGTGATGCCGTCTGTTCCACAGACTGGTGCATAGTTCCTTGGACAGCCTCCTATCCAGGTTCCATCTGGATTTTTGTATTTACTGCAGTCAGGCTGCAAAATTAATAAGGTGACATTTGAGTGGACATTTTTCACTCTTCACTTGTTCTTTTGAGGAGAGAAATCACACACAGGGGCAATGTTTTTCACCGTTTCCTAAATCTAGAATGGGGTGAGGAAAAAGTAGTTCATTTGTGCTGGAAGAAAAGGAAAATACTGCAGATATTTCGCAGGAGAAAGTCTATGTTGTTTTTTTCCTCACAGTTGCAGGTCACTGCCATAATGAGACTAATAACGATAAACCAGAAGACAAAGACCCAGAGCTAAAATCTAAGAAGAACCTCAATATGCAACAGTTTCAAGTCAGTTAAGTAAATAATTTTAATTAACATATATGATATAGAAAGAAATCTCTCTCACTGTTGCAACAGACAAATTTTAAAATGTCATATTTTAAAATATTTCCCCAATTTTTCTCTGTATTATAATCTCTGGTTAGAATGTGTGAGTCATTTAAAATAGTGTATGAAAGTAATCAGTCTGACTGTGTGGAGACCATCTATCTGAATTGCAGGTATACCCTCTAATTTTAATAGCAATGAGATAGTTTTAGTTTTTGATGCAACCAGCTTTTCCCATAGTTTTAGGGGAGAAGAGTTTCCCCAACCCAGAGAATTTGGCCACAATATTGTTTGTAGACAGAGATCCCAGGAAATTTACTATTAATAAACACAAAGAACTGTACTGACCTGACTCCCACCTTGAGTGGTGACGCCTGAAAAAAACAACAGACAAATATGAATACTGCCAATGATCTGAGATGGTCTGTAGATGTCTGATTGTATTAAATATGAACTTTACAAGAGAAAATATTTAAAATGGACCCTTGAAAGTTAGCAGAATGTGTCCTAGAAGTTATTATAAAAATATTTAAAATGGACCCTTGAAAGTTAGCAGAATGTGTCCTAGAAGTTATTATAAAAAATTTAAATGATCCCAAAAGAGCAGGTGTGTAAATTTTAAAAAATAATTTCCATCATTTAAGTGTCTAACAGAGGTATTTTATTCCTGCTTTAGTTGCAAATTTCAATGCACCCTTAACTATGGAGCTGTAAGGATGCTTATAGGATAGGAAAGAAAGAACAAGACAAAATCTTTGAAGGAAATTAAATGCAATTGTCTGTGTGTAGAAAAATAGAATGCACTTTCTAACTTGGCAAACATCATCTAATATTACTGGCATTTATGGGTTGTGTATTAATTTTATTAATTTATAAGCAGTTTTTATTATTTCACATCACTGATTGTTTTAGGAATTATGCTCTGCTAAGAAGAAGCACAGTGAAACTAAAACATCTTACAGAATGAAACTAGAAGACCGTTAAGACCTGGCAAAAACTAGTTTAGCCATAGCTGAATTCAAATTGTTGATTTCTGTTACGTCTAAATTATTTAAATCTATGTAAATTCCTGTCATTACATTTTCATCCCATACAATCCCCAGAAGCTGAAGTGCAGCAACCTGTAGGGTGGAGAGCAATAGGCAACTGGTGCCCATCACACTGCACAATGAAGGGAGGTAAAATTTTGGCCAAGACCACTGGCACAAACTCCGAATGTTAGGAAAAGTGCCACACCTCACATAGACAACAGGGCTGTAGGCCAAAAGTTTCAAACTTACTGGCCTAATTTTCAGAGGTGCTGACCATCTGTAATTCCCACTGACTTCAATAAGATCTGGTCAGCACCTCTGAAAATCAGACCACTTATTTAGGGTCTATGGGCCTGATCTTCAAAAATGCTCAGTAGCTGCAGCGCCCATTGACTTAAATAGGAGTTTAGGCTGCACAGCACTTCTGAAAATCAAGCCCGAAGAGCCATATTTGTAAAGGTATTTAGACACCTAAAAATGCAGATATATCTAGTGAGATTTTCAAAAGCACCTATCTGAATCTTTAGGGACCTAAAAACCTTTATAAATCTGGCACTGAGTACCTAACTTTAGACACCCAATTTTCAAAATGTTTACCTGCATTTTCTCTTTAAGAAAATAAGGGAAAGCAACATTAGCATTTAATAGTCATGGTTTCTGATGCCAGAGGTGTCTGTCATAGGGTTTAATACATGATGCAGAGTAGGGAGAGTTACTCACCTAAAATGAAGCAGCAAAATGCCAGGGAAAGGAACACAAAGGCACCTTTTAGCTTCATGGTGAAGACAGGTGTCTGGTCTGTGCTGATTCTGTTTGTACTTTGCTGAGTAGGTATCCTTGCAATTAACCCCCGACTGTGTTCACAGATATATATAGTTCTGTATATCTATAGAAGCAATCAGGTTCGTGACCTGGATTAGCAAATCACCTGCAAAGGATATTACTGACATAAGAATTTCTCTTCAGGCAGTTGCAGGCAGGGAGGAATGTTTATTTCAAAACATAATTTGCAGAAAATATGAGGAAAGTTTGTGTCACATGGTGACCCTGCCTCTGATCAACAGCAGAGATTTACACTCAATTATCTCCAGTTTACTGCCACAAAACTGGAACATTCTGCTACTGTTCACATTTTTATCAGTGATTCCTTGGCATGGGCTGGTGAAGTACAGTAGCCAGTCTATGTAGACTATGATTTGGTCCTACATCAAAATATGACACTCAGCAGGATGGGTTTATATTTAAGACCCCTGTTTCTAAAGGACATTTTCAAAATGAATCACATTATGAGTGTGTCATGGCTTGTGAAACATTGTTATTTGGTGTGACCAGTGTTTGGAAAGTCGGTGAAAATATGTTCAGTATTGACTGGCTGCCATGGGGATTTGTGGACTCAATGAATGTCACTTGTCCCATTGTCCTTTGTCCAGAACTCTAGAGTCCATGTGAGGCATTCACACTATATAGGGATAAGGGGGAAGCAAACAATCACTAATGGGATAAGATCTCTCAGAAACCAATGGAAATAGATCAAGATTATGAATTGAGAGAGTGAGCCTGGGTAGTGCTGATACCTCAGGAACTCCCTGGAGGGCCTAAGATTATACATGTGTCCATAGTATAATCATTACGGTGCATCTTGTATAAAGTTAAGAAAAGGTGCTATAGAGCTCTAATCCTGCCAGATGCTGAATATCCTCAGCTCCAGTTGATGTCAGGATCTGGCCCTATGTATAATGGGGGAAAAACACATTGTGCAGGTAAAACAAACAAACAAACAAAAACAAAACAAAGTCAGTTGTGAACATTTCCCCCTTGTCAGGGCATAAACTAGATGAGTGCCCAGTGAGCTCCAGATAGAAACATACTCAGAGAATCAAAAAAATCACCCTCCTGAGGGCTGATTTATAAACAAAAGAGCAACTGCAAACTAATACCATAAGCACTTCCCCCACTCCAGCCTAAACCTGCTACTCAGTTTTAGCAGCTTCTGGGATTCTTTCTGTCTCCTCTATATTCTGCCTGCCCTCAAACACTTGGACTCTCTGTTAGAAGCCTTCTCCCACCTCCTTTATATTAAAAGTGATGTCTAACAAGCCACACCTGAACCAATGAATCAGCAGTAATTAATCTGCAACTCCCCTCTGCACTTCAAAACCTTCTAAAAAGGTAGGGTAATGAGAGAGTTCTGCCATACAAGGTGTTCTCCAAAACTCACAGATAGTAGCCCCACCAGGTTTCAATTTTCGGTTCATATATTTCACTGCTCTGAAAGTCTCCTCTGTCTTTCAATAATGTCTAAAGCAAAACCAAAGTAAAATAATTAGTTGCATTTTTCAAAGGTTTGCAGCTCTCCCCCTTACACACTGGAAGATTTTAATGATTATTTTCTCCAAATTTTCCTAAAATCCTCAGGGCTAGCCTGCTACTGTGAGATTCTATAAATAGATATTTCTTATTTCTGTTTACAAGCATCAGTTTTTTCTTCCCTACAAGAATTTCACAAACAACTTGAGTATTTATTTTACTTTAAATTACAGTTAAATTAGGTAGCGCGCAATACAAAATAATCCATTGGAAAGCTTAAAAATCTACAGCCATATTTTGAAAAACAGTCACTGATTTTGGGTAGTGCCTCATGTTTTGGGTGTGCAATTTGAGTCACATTGGGCCTAGGCAATGGGAGCTGTGGGTGCTCCTCACCTCAAAAATGAGGGAGCCTAAATCACTGTCCACTTTTGAAAACTGTGGGTTGGGAGCTAGGTTGGGAGCTCTGCAAATGTTGCATGTATATGTGATGCTCCTGGGTGGGTTATCAGTAGAACTTGGATTGCTGGATTTAAAAAGCATGGGCTGTTATATTTACTGGAACTAAAGAGCTCAGCACTCTTGGCAATAGCTGTAGCAGGTTCATCAGCCTCTATGTGTGGACCAGCCACCACTAGAGAAGCAGTGCTTAATTTGTAATGAAAGAGGTGCCAGGGCTCAAGTAATTTTTTTACTTTCATAAGTGACGCGGCAAGCCCAGAGGTACCAGGACTATGAACTGCCAAGCCTAGAGGTGCCGGGGCTCAGCTCTGGCACAAATTAAGCACTGTAGAGAAGACCAAAACACCCAGACTTAATGGTGTGGAGTAGGAAAGCCTGTGGCTATGTCTTTACTCAGGGTAACCACAGGTTAAGCAATTGCAAGTTAGTCTATGCACAATAGCCTCACTCACTAGAGCGCAACTACATTGTCTGCCACTGAATGCTACTGTCATGCCCCACATTGGCACTAGAGCTCTGTCTAGTTGTGAGAGATAATACAGATACATAGGTGCATATCCAATATGTCACTGGGCCCTAATTCACTGTCACTCTATGCTTGCTTTCACAGGGTGTTGTGAGACAAATTAGCTGCCCACTCTGGGGATTGTGGGTGGAAATGATCTAGGCCTGGGAAATTCATTTCCTGGTGGGACCTGAGGTGGTGTGATAGTGCTGAAGGTATGAATTCTGCTTGGGAGCAATAGCTACTGATTCTTATGAAGGCAGTTTTCTTCGGTGGGCCTCTGCAGAAGGTGCTGCCAGGAGATGGTAGCGAGCCTTTCAGAGGTGGCTGTTAGCCTGGAGAAGACACAGGTAGTGACTTGCAGTAACACATGGAAGTATAGCAACAGATTGGGACCATGTGGACATGGAGATTTGGACTGAACCAATACTGTTTTTCGGGGTGGATTCTCCCCAGCCATGCAGACCACTGCTTCTGGACCAGGACTGCAAGTGCAGAGTGCTGGACTACATTGTGCTAGAAACATGGGATGACCAGTAAGGGCCCAGGATTTTCCCACGAGGAACCCAAAAATATGAGGAGTTTGCCCTGGTCCTGGAGTGGTAGGACAGCCAGATGAAAAAGTCAGTAATGGTCCAGAAGCGTGTTGTTATTGCCTTGTGGAAGCTGGCAACTCCAGGCTGTTAACAGAACTGTTGGCAATCAGTTTGGGCTTTGCAAATCCATGGCTGGTTCAGTAGTCTTGGAAGTTCATGAGGCAATTAACACTGCTGGAGGCCAGGTTTGTAAAATTTGGAAATATCCCTGAAATAATTGTGGTGTTTGCATGAATGGGTTCTTGAGCAGTGCAGGTGTGATTGGTGGTATGCCTATATACACATCCTCTGAATGCCATTTGAACAAGTGAGTATCTTAACAGGAAAGGGTATGACACCATCATTACACAAGCTCTTGTGGACACTGAGGCACATGAGGCACATGGACACCTACACAGGATGTGCTGGCAAGGTGCTCTAGATGTCTGGCCTCTTTTCACCTGGACGAGCTAGTTCATTGTTCTCCTTAATGACACATTGAGCAAGTGCAGGATGGTGGAATGTATCTTTGGCTGACTGAAAGCAAAATAGTGCAGCATACAGACTTATTTAGACTGTAGTATGTTTAATTCCCTACATGTGATTACTGAGGGACAATCTCCACTCATTGATATATTTTGCTTTCCACAACCAAATCTTTGTACAATTTTTCATGAGTGATGTACCTGAGTATTAGGATTCTAATATCTAAAGTATATTGTTAAATTTATTCACCTAAATTTGGGATATTGCTGATTATGTACTCTATGTATCATATGACTTCTAAAAACAAACTTTGTATTTGTGGATAATCTAAGCACTATACCCAGATGTACAGACTCTCTTCTCTCAACCTATGTATTATATAATTTTTTTAACATTAGTTTTAATAAAATGTTTAATTCCCTACATGTGATTGGGTATGTTGTGTGCTTCACCATGTATATGAGGATAAGGAGGAGGTGGTGGTGCCAGAATTAATTGATGACAATGATGAGTTGCGGTCTGCTTACTGAGGGCACGTCTATACTTACCCGCTGGTTCGGCGGCAAGCAATCGATCGTCTGGGATCGATTTATCGCGTCTTGTCTAGACGCGATAAATCGATCCCGGAGGTGCTCGCCCTTGACGCCAGTAATCCTGCTCCGCGAGAGGAGTAGGCGGAGTCGACGGGGGAGCCTGCCTGCCGCGTGTGGACCCGCGGTAAGTGCCTTTAAGTTCGAACTAAGATACTTCGACTTCAGCTACGTTATTCACGTAGCTGAAGTTGCGTATCTTAGTTCGAACTGGGGGCTTAGGGTGGACCAGCCCTGAGTGGGTTAAGAGGAAAACTTGTGGTTGAACCTGCATTCAGTCTCCCATGAAGACAAACAATCTCACGCTACTCACAAAGCTCCCATGAACCCAGAAGTAGCACTGATATGTAAGGTCTGAACTGGAGGTATCTGCATCCAGCCATCCTTGGCAGGGCCTCTCCCTTGAACAGTGAAAACCAGCAGTGGGGAGCTGGTAGACTCTGCCGAAAAAAGAAATCTGTTCTTTGTTGCTGTTCTGTAGAAATTTAAAATCTAGAACCTGCTGACAGAACATTAGTTGCAGCACTAGATGGCACCAGCGTAGCATACATGCTTACTCTCTCCCAAGCATAGATACAGCTAGCGTCTGGATATTAGGATGTTTAATATGTGGAAGGACATAAGACAAGAACCAAACTTTACTTGGCAAACAAAATTTGCATGCCTCGCTTCTTGTCAGAAATTCAGGGTGATTAATATGTGAGAGTGGGAGTCTACAGAGAAAACTCACCAGAAGCTCCCTTGCTTGTGAATGACATGTTCTGACTTCCCGTTTCTTGGAAGAATACATAGACCTAAAGAAGGGGAGAGCTCCTTAGCTAATGATAAATGGGACTGTCCCGTGAGGGGATTAGTATTAATTACTATGGAGGGATAGACGTGTCAGAACTTTGCATGGGGTAAAATCTAGAATATTTT